CCGAAGTACTGACCACAGACTGGAGATTTAAATAAGACTTTGTCATTTTATTTATTTATTTATTTATTTTATTTTATTTTTTAATTTATTTTTTTTCCTTTTTTTTTTTTTGTCTTTTTCCATGTCCGGCAACGGATCACAACCCTCTGTGTCGCCCCCGTACCGGACCGGGACCAGCAACGGGATCGCAACCCTCGGTGTTGCTCCCGCGCCTCGCTCAGCCAGTGAGCGGGAACCGGTCTGTATGTGGGATCCGAACCCTCGGCGGGAGTGCCGCCGCGCTTCCCAAGCGGTGCACTATAGCAGTGTGCCACCAGGCCGGCCCCTTATTTATTTATTTTTTGAGACCGGCCGCACCACGCTCAGCCAGTGAGCGCACCGGCCATCCCTATATAGGATCCGAACCCGTGGCGGGAGCGCCGCTGCGCCCCCAGCGCCGCATTCTCCCGAGTGCACCACAGGCTTGGCCCAAGACTTTGTCATTTTAAATGCACTGCAGGAAAAGAGAGGAGGGCTCATCAGCCAGTAGCTGGGTAATCGCAACCCAGGTCCTTAGCACGATAATACCACAGGCTTTTATTACACTGCAGTTCTCTGCACAGAGTGAAGTGCCTTACCGTCAGCCAGAGAAGGTCCTCAGACTCAGGAAATGGAAGAGGAGACCTCACGATACTTAGCAGGAGAGGGGAAGATAGACATGGTAGCCCTTGGTCAGCAAACCTCAGAGAGGCAATTTGAAGGGAGTCTCAGAATTTATCCACTAACGCAGGAGGGACCAATCAATTTGTGGAGACCTTAACTTTCTCTAAGTGTAGGGCTGTCTTCTTAAGGAAGGGTTGAATTCTTCATCACCAGGATACTCTATATCAGGCCAGTGTGGAGTCATAAGAGTTTACATTGAAAAGGAAAAGGTTGGATGTGAAAGAATTTTCCAAGGAGTGAGCATGTGTAGCCAAGGAGGCCATGGCCTTGCTTCTCAATGCGCTGAGAAAAATGTCAAAAAAAAACAAAATTACAACAAATTTATAGATCTTAATTGGTTTCATTTGCAATTCTAGAACTGGGCAACACTTCATTCCATAAAGTAGAATAAGTGTTCCAATGAACTGAGCAGAAAAGTTCGTTATAGGCAGAGAAGGGCTAAAGAAAGCTGAAACAAGGAACAAAAAGCTGATTAGTCATTTCAAAGTTACTTTCCTTGTAAGGTGGGGACAAGGAGACAGAACAATAGAAAAATAACTGGTTAACATTAAGTTACTTCAGGTTGCTTTTTTGTGTAAGGATTAAAGCAGAGGGAAGGAACATCATTATCATGGCAATTGAAACTGGCCTGTTTGGAAAATTGGCTGTTATCTCTGTCTCTTGATTTCTCAGATTTCAGTTTGATGACATGGTACTTTCACATGGGTGACTCCATTTTGGTTTTTAGTCTGGTCTGTTGGGGCCTAGTGCAGGCAGTTGGTCCAAAGCAATGTCCTCCTATAATTTTTATTTAACTAAATAAAAGCTGTCTGAAAAGAACTTCCTTATGCTCCCACTTCCAAATCTACCAGCCAGACTGCAGTATAGCTGTACACACTGCATTTCCTCCTGAAAATCAGTGAGCTGTCCATGCGGCTATCTAAGGCCATCCCCTCACTTGTGCTCCAGATTCCACCTCCTGTCTACTGTGATTGTCTCTTCTCTCACCTGCATTATCAAAACTTCTCACCCCATTAAGTAATTCCTATCACAAAATACTATATATATCCCATCTTTAAATAACAAAAACAAACACCCGCCCCCGAACCCACATTTCTCTCCATTTTAATTCATTTCTTCACTCTCTTGAACCCATTCCTGTTAGGCTTTCACTCCCACCATCCACTAAAAGCAATTTTGTCAAAGTCACCACCGCTCTCCACGTTGCCAAGTCCACTAGTCATTTCTCAGTCTTCCTATTGCCCGGCCTCTCCATGGGATTTGACAAAGTTTGACCCCTCTCTCCCACTTCAAATGTTTGCTTCACTTGGCCTCTGAGACTCATTTTCTTATGTCACAGACTGTTTCTTCACATTCTCCTTTCCTGGATTCTCCTCCTCTTCCAGACCTCTAAATATTGGGGTGTCACGGGGCTCAGTAACTGGGCTTCTTCTCTTTTCTACCTACACTCACTTCCTTGGTGCATCTAGTCCCATAACTTTAAATACCATTTCTACATACCAGTAATTTCCCAAATTATGTTACCAGCTCCACCTTCTTCCCTAAACCCTACATATGTTCAACTTCCTACTGTACATCTCCACTTGATTCTAAAAGGCATCATAAACTTAACATGCCCTAAATCAAACACTTAACATTCCCCCACCAAACTGCTTCTTTCATAGTCTTCCCTGTTTCCCATTGTAGTAAATGGAAATTCTGTTCTTCCAGTTACTCAGGCCAAAGTGTTGGAATCACCCTTGAATCCTCCCTTTCTCTCACAGCCCACGTCCATAGCATCAGCAAAATCGTTTTGATGGTGTCTTCAAAACATATCCACAGGGCCGGCCTGTGGCTCACTCGGGAGAGTGTGGTGCTGATAACACCAAAGCCACGGGTTCGCATCCCATATAGGGATGGCCGGTTCGCTCACTTGGAAGAGCGTGGTGCTGACAACACCCAGTCAAGGGTTAAGATCCCCTTACCGGTCATCTTTTGAAAAAAAAAAAAAAAAACATATCCACGATCTGACTACTTCTCACCACCTCCACCACCACCCTTATCCAAGTTACCATTAATTCTCACCTGGATTATAACAGTAGCTTCCCAGCTCTCATCTGAATTATAGTAGTAGCCTCTTGCCAAATCTTGCGTGAAAGGCCAAGTAATACGAGGAATGAGACACGACAATGGGCTACGTGGAGGTCACTGATAACCTTGACAAGACTGCTTTCACTGGAGTGGTGGCCCTGACAGAACTGGATTCCATGCTGTAGCGGGATTCTTTATGCTCCCTATGCTCTTCTTAATCCTGTAATAATTCACCACAAAAGCTCCCACTTCAGAGCCTTTGCACACTTGTTCTTTCTACACGCACCACCCTGCCTCCAAAGAGTCACGCCCACCTGCCATCTCCCCTGAATTCAGGTTCATGTTAAAATGACAACTTTTATTTTTATTCTTTTGGATGGCTGGCCGGTGTAAAACGACACCTTCTTTTTTTTTTTTTAAAGATGACCGGTAAGGGGATCTCAACCCTTGGCTTGGTGTTGTCAGCACCACGCTCAGCCAGTGAGCAAACCGGCCATCCCTATATAGGATCCGAACCCGTGGCCTTGGTGTTATCAGGACCGCACTCTTCCAAGTGAGCCACAGGCCGGCCTGTAAAACGACACCTTCTGAGAGACTTATCAAGCTAGTTAAAATAGCACCTCCGGCTCTCTATCCCTGTATTTTTCATTATTTCCCTTCATAGATTTTATCACGCTCTGAATATATCTGTTTACTGGATGTCCCCCCTCCCCCCACACACTAGAATGTAAGCTCCATGAGGACGGGGACTTTCTTTTTTCACCACTGTATCCCCATCATATAACCGTGCCTGACAAATACTGGGTACTCAATAAATATCTGTTCAATGAATAAGTAAACGACCTTCGTCTCAAACGCACAGTTCTACCAAGAATGTGCAAGTATCCCCAACTTTAAGACCTCCAGTACACGACACGTCCGGCTCCAGGAACATGGGCATGCACTATAATTCACACCCAAGCCAATCGTCCCTCTCTTCGAAGACATACGGTAGCACTTCCGCCCTCGCTCAAATCTCGCTGAAATCGCGGAAAAGGAGGGCGGAGATTTTATGTCATCATTCTGCGCCAGCCTGCCCTGCGACGCGCCGGCGGCTGGCGCAGCCCTTCGCTCGCCCGGCCTCCCCCTCCCTGGTTCCGCGCTCTGGTTCCGCCATGGAATCCAACAAGGATGAAGCCGAGCGCTGTATTAGCATCGCCCTCAAGGCTATCCAGAGCAACCAGCCCGACCGGGCGCTCCGCTTCCTGGAGAAGGCGCAGCGGCTGTACCCGACGCCGCGAGTTCGCGGTGAGTGTGAGGCGCCGGAGAGACAGGGGGCACATTAGAACTGATGGGGGGGAATACGGGAACGGACCGACGGGAGCAGTTGGGGGAGGGGGAGGGGTGGCGAGGCGCGGCTACGCCTGCGCACTGAGATGCGCGGTGGCTGCTGGGAGGTGTAGTCTTTCCCTCCCACGCGTCTGTGGGATGCTGGAAGCCCGAAGACAGGAGTGGCCGGGATCTCAGCTTTCGGCGTGCTGGCGGGACCCTCTGCGATTTGAGGTTTCCGAGGATGAGACGCGCTGGCAGACGGGGCGAAGGGACTTTACCTGGGGGCGAAATCAAACTACTTTTCCCAAGGGGCCATTCGGTGGCCCAGGGCCAGTTGCCGGCCTGGGAAGTGTTACCGTTCAGGAAAATAAACATAACTCCTCGGAGGGAGAGAATGGGTCCTGGACAGGGAAGGACTTCGACCTTCGGGCGCCCCGGAGTGGCCCCTCCACGGCTTCACTCCCTCGCACGTCTGCGGACGAGGGCCTTCCTTTTACCCGCTCCGCTCCACCACTTTGCACGGTCTGTTCTGAGACTGGGCTCCTCACCCGCTCCCGCAGCCTCTTCACCCGCTGGCGAGATTCGGAGCCGATGGCTTTGTCGGAAATGCAGGCCTCAGCCATCCCCAACCCTCCTTCGTCCCCAAGAGTCCATCAGTGACCGGTCATATAAACTGCTAAGCACCAGGCTGCTGAGTGCCCTGAGTGGCCCTGGACTGAAGGCTCCCAAACCAGGGACGGAATAGTGATGTTACCTCATTTTACCCAGGGGACCCCCAACCTTTTTTTTCCCCTTTAACCTGAGATTTTGAAGAAGTTTTTCTTAATACAGGCTGGAGGGAGAAAGACACAGGGTTTGTGCCTGCGATTACTGCTTAGTAGACTGTGTGGCATATAACAGGCACTCAGAATTAGAGCAGCCCAATCTCATCCTGACTGCTTACCATGTCACTTTTCTGAGCTTGGGTTTCCTCATCTGAAAGATTAGAGGGTTGGCGCACATAATGTGAATAATAATAATACCCACCGGGCTTTTCAGTTTAGAAAGCTCTCTCCCATGTGTTTTTTCACTTGAGCCTGCTCTGTCGCTTTGGCAGAGCAAAGATCGTTGTCTTTGCTCTATAGATGAGGGAACAGCTCAGAAGTAAAGAACTTGCCCAAGATTACACAGCTAGAAATTGGAAAGTTCTATGACTCTGTAAACATTTATTGAAGGAATAAAATGATATTGAAGAGCAGCAGTCATCCTACCCTTCTCTACCTACATTATGAATTTGAGGAAGGGGAACACTGGCTGAAGAAATGGCCTGGAACACCTGAACTTTCCTCCCTCCTGACTGCAAGTCGACCTTTGGCCTGTTTACCTCCTCTTGGAGAGGGTATCAGTCTGTATTTGCCAGGGCTCCTGAGGTAACCTGCTCAAGGAGTTTCCCTGTGAAATGAGTAGGTAGGAAGCATGGTGGGTTGTGAGCCCTCCAGCTGTCAAGATTCTGTCTGACTCTGGATGCTGCTGGGGACTCAGGAGCAGGCAGCCAAGAAAGATGGGAACAACAGGGCCTGTGGGGATCTTCCTGTCAGCAGGTCCCTGGGGCTCAGACACTGGAATTCGCTCAGGCAGGAGAGTCACTTGCTGTACATTTGTCATATTCATGCTCTTGTGGAAAGAGTATATATGCCTTATACATCTGTGTATACTTCGCTTTGTGCCGCCTGCAGCCCTTCACTGAGCTGACAACACCCTGGGGTTAGTTTAGGCCTCGGATGGGGGAATCTTGGTTCCTCGGATGGGGGAACACTAGATGCTTTGGGTTTGAGCTCATTTCAGATCCTTGTTCTATGCAACAGACTTTTGCTGAGGATCTTTTTTGTTTTGCTTGTTTGCGAAGTCCTCTGTTGCTAAGCGGTATAGCAGTATTGATAGAATGTGATCACTCACCTCAGAGAGATTACAATCTAATGAAGGAGACAAACTTATGGGGAAAAAAATATTGCAAGGCAGAAGATAGCCATGATTGAATAAAAACTAAGCACATTGTTAGATGCTGAGGTCTTAAGGATAGGCATGAAAAATCCAGTCCCTGCCATCCTTGTGTTCACAGTCTGGAGGGGTGGAGGAGAGTGCCGAGAGTGAGGGGGTGTGAAGGACAGTCTCCTGAATATTAAATTATAAACAGTGTAGTGAGTGCTGTAGCAAAGGTATAAAAATAGTGTTATTTCATAGCAAGAAAGGCTTTGGGTGGGTAGTAAGACAGGAGGTAGCATTTGAACTGTGCTTTGGAAGAAGGTAGAAACGTGGGGAAAGGCATATACTGGGAAAGACATGAAGGCCAAAAGTTGTAGGAGGTTTTGGGGTGGGGATTAGTGTAGCTGGATATAGTGGCTGTGGAGGTGATAATCTGTACATAGAGAGGATTATGGTCGAAAAGTAAGATGGGGCCAGATTGTGGAAATTCTCTTCTTTTTTTTTTTTTAAAGATGACCGGTAAGGGGATCTTAACCCTTGACTTGGTGTTGTCAGCACCACGCTCTCCCGTGTGAGCCATGGGCTGGCCCTGGAAATTCTTTTCTGCCACGTGAAAGTATTTTCACTTTCTTCTGTAGTTAGTGAGGAAACCATTGAAGTTTTAGATAGCAGGAATAAGGTAGGAATACTGTTCTTGAAAGAGAACAGCATGAAGGGGTAGTGAGAGGGAAGAGAGACTCAAGACTGGAAGGAAGCCAGTTGAGAGACTATTGCCTTGAGTAGGTTAGAAGTTATGAGGGCCTGAGGTAAGGCAATGTGGATAAGGTCACTGGGGAGGAGGCGCCAAGCCTTTGTATGAGAGAGGGATGCTAGGGAATCAAAATCGAAGCCTTAGTGACCAGGAAGAGACCCAGGCTGAAGAACTGGGGTGGGAAGAGATGGCAGAGTGCGTGGTGCCAGTGGGATGTTCCAAAGGAGCTGTCAGCTTGGAGCTCAGGAGAGTGCTCTGGGTTCCAGATGAAAGTCTGCTATCATCAGTCTGATGGAGCTCAGTGGAGTTGTGCATGGCCAAGGTCACTGTGGGAAAGTGTGGAACAGGGAGAGGAGGTTGCTGCAGGCAACTGTGGGCCACACCTGCCCTTCGCCAATGGGCAAAGGCAGAGGAAACAACAGTGAGATGGAGCAACTCCAGAAAGAGGCGATCCCAGGAGAGGGCAGAGGCGGGGTCACCATGGAGAGGTATGTCAGGAGGTGGTGAGCAGCACTGGCAAATGCTGCAGGGGCCACATGGGAAAAGGACAAGTCGAGAAATGAAAGGGGAAGGATCAAGAGCTTGTGTGGAGGATGGTTTTGGAGAAGTGCAAGGACACACAGGGAGGGGTTCAGGGTGACGGGGGAGTTGGAGCAACCCTGAGGGATGTATGAGTCCATTTCTGTTGTTTGTAACAAAATACACGGAACTGGGTATTTTATTTTTTTATTATTTTTTTGTCCTTTTGAGACCGGCCGCACCGCGCTCAGCCAGTGAGCGCACCGGTCATCCCTATATAGGATCTGACCCCGCGGCGGGAGCCCTGCTGCGCTCCCAGCGCCGCACTCTCCCGAGTGCGCCACGGGCTCGGCCCGGAACTGGGTATTTTATAAAGAAAACAAAATTTATTGCTTTTCCTAGCCTTTCAGAGGCTAGGAAGTCCAAAGTCCAGGGAACACATCTGGTGAGGATCTTGGTGGTGGCAACAGTGATACAGGGTATCACACTGTGAAATGGCTGAGCAGAGAGAACAGAGACTAACCTTCATTCATTCTTACTTTAAAGCCCTCAGAGGGCCAGCCCATGGCTCACTCGGTAGAGTGC